CAGATAAAATCTAATACAAAATTACAAATAGCATTCTAAAGGTCTTGATTAGACATTGTTGCTCCTCTAGAGAACCTAAAACTTTACTGTATTCACTGACATTCCATACTTAAGATGTAATTAGTCACTCAAATTGTTGACAGTTCACTGAAAATATTTCTTCAACTGACAACTTTTTGGTCTATGTTCTGATTAATATATAACAAAGTACTTTCTTTAAACAAGAGGTAAATAATCAAGATATAAAGTGAACTGGAATGGAGCATGTTGCTTAACTGATAGGTGAATTTTTAACGCTTTCTATAGCTTTTTTTTAAAAAAATGGTAGAACTATGTACTTTATAATGAGCAATAGAATTGTCGTTTCCCCTTTCAGTCTTAAGAGATAAAGAATTCAACAGTTCCAGTTTAAGTTCTGGGAGAGTAAGTTCTCACACAATGTCGTTACCAAACCACATAGTGTGATGGCCAGCTTTGCTAGGGCCCTCAAGTTGTTAAAAATCTCCTAAGACAAAAAAGCATATTTAATCTGTGAAGTAATAATTATAATAAGGCAACCATCACTGACCTGTTTCTATACGGTGACAAAAAAACAAGAGAAAGAAAAATCTTTGGTCTAAGATAAAAAAAAATACCCCGGAACCCAATCTTGTTGGGTTGGGTCGGTGTTAAGGCATTGATAAATAAAGAGAAGAAAATATTATCCACTTATTATTCACTTCATTTTTTTCACAAATATTATCTCCTCTGACTTTTCTGTCTTTTCCCCCACAACTTGTGTGAACACACACACACACACACACACACACACACATACACACACACTCCTGTCCTCTCTTTTACCTTTAAATTCCATCACACTATTATGCTTTGGGGACCTCATCACATTTTCTTGAGACCCCAAGTACCTCCATTAACATTTCTGAAAGATTAGCAGTCATTAAGAACCGAATTGAAATTATATAAGATTTTTTAAATCTTCTAAAATTTTTGGCTACTTGATAAAATAATGTGAAACTTAATAATAGGTTAGAATTTAATTCCATTATCATCAAATATGTCACACTCCACATATAAAGATTCCTAAAACAGTCTATTAAACTTATAACACACTAGTTTTGTTTTCAAATATCTTTAGAATAAAAGAGCCAAGGTTTTATAAAAATCTTAAAGTTTAAATGATTTTATATAACTCTTATATTTTTGTTGATTTTATAATTACAAGAGTCATTTAAAGTTATTCTAAAAGTAAACACTACATAATTTAGAGTTTAAGCAAAAGTAAGTTTCCAATAACCCCACTGAGATAACCAGCAATAACTCGTTTCTACTTCTCCAAGTCTTCTACCTATACATACAGTTTCTTGCATGCTCTCTGTCTCTGTCTTATTTTCTTTTCTTTTTTAAAGTATATTTGTATTGATTTCAGAGAGGAAGGAAGAGGGAGAGAGAGAAACATCAATGATGAGAGAGAATCATTGATCGGCTGCCTCCTACATGCCCCCCTACTGGGGATCAAGCACACAGCCCGGGCATGTGCCCTTAACCGAAATCGAACATGGGACCCTTTAGTCCACAGGCGGATGCTCTATTCACTAAGCCAAACCAGCTAGGGCTCTTTCTTTTTCTTCCCCTCTTTGAAATACATCTTGGTGTCTCTTTATAATAGTATCTAAATTCTTTCATTTACATAGATAAGAAACTAGCTTAAGAGGTGAGCTATCGCGAGATAACCAAAAAGCAGCAAACTACAAAGATATTTAGTGGTCATCTTTGCCAGTGTGGACAGGCTGTTTCCAACTCTGTTATCTATATAAAATTTTTGGAAAATATATTTAAAGGAAGTAAGGGTAGTAATCCAAATTTTAAATAAAATACCACAAAATCAAACTAAGATAACGGAGGTTTTAGTACCGGAGCAGTTCCCATATTTTTTAAATGACACTTAGTGTTTAAAGCATTGGAGACTGATCTAGCTTCCCTGGGCTGCTGTCCTTGGCAAGTGGGTGTCCCTTAGCATTCCTCAAGTCAGCAGGCCCTTGAAATGAAGCACAATAACAAGGTTTTAATGAGTGATCTAACCCTTCCCCATTCAAAAGGTAAAAGACATCTGTTTAAAAAAGCAAATAAACCACAGGAGTGGGTTCAGCAATAGGCCTGGAGGATTTCAGAGATACACCCCTTGCTTATCAAAATAAAAATCACAACAGAACAATTGTTTCAACTTTACACTATGTGTTCTGAACTGTTCTACAGTCTGCAGATTAACTGGCGTGGAGTCCCACCAAGCTCATGAAGAGAGAAACTCGGGACTCCGGCAACACGGTTGGTGTTTGCTGTCCTCCCAAACTAGAGGGCTCTCCCAGCAAGCACAGGGAGAACTTGGCAGAACCACACACTCCTGGGCTTCCTTTACTGGTAGTATTTCTCGGACTTATTTTTAAATTTTAAATTGCATTTTAAAAATCAGACTCCAAGGATCTTTTCCTATTTGCTTTTGTTGTTGTTGTTGTTTTACTGAAAAATTGGTCTTTACTTATTCTCTTTATGGTATCACCCCTGCCCAGTTACATTTTATAGTTACCATCTTCCTCTGGAATCTGTGACCACTCACTTGGGTTATTAGATTACTCTGATTAGATTGTCAAACTAATCATGTGAACACTCAGGCATTTTAAGTTATGTTCCAAGGAGGTGGAAAGACAAAATTCTTTCTTTTCTGGCACAGGCTTCTTCCACCCACTGAATCCCCCTAAATCTCTTGGGCTTGCCAAGGTCCTGACCTTCCAGTCTCCACAACAGAGGGTGATGTTTGGCGGGAGAAAGACCCAGCAGATTAAGGCCTCTGTTCAACAAATATTTGCTCACCCACTCCAACCAGAGTGAAACAGTTTGCTACATGCTGCCTGCCCAGAGTAACATTTAGGGACCTCTGGGAAGCTTGTTCAGTGATGGCTAAGAATTAGACACCTCATATCAAGGTAAATAGAAAGTCCAAACTCATTGTACATCATGGAAAACTAAATGAATTTACTGAACTCCCAATTTCACATGAAAACCAGCACAAGTCCCATGAAATAGAATCTGAGTGTGATTTGCCAAACAAACAAAAAAACCAAAAACAAGTTTACTCACGTCCTAGCCAGCTTTGCTCAGTGGTTAGAACATGGGCCCTCAGGGTTCAATTACAGTCCAGGTCACATACCTCAGTTGCAGGCTGGATCCCCGGGCAGGATTGTGGCCGTGGGGGAGGCAATCAATCAATGTGTCTCTCTCCCATCCTCACATCCATGTTTCTCTTTCCCCCTCCCTTTCCACTCTCTCTAAAAATCAATGAAAAAAAATATACTTGGATGAGGATTAACAAAACAAACAAATAAAAACCTTTACTCAACCTTGTGTTGTTGGGTGTTCTTAATCTAGTCTCTTAAATTCAAAAACTCTCTGGCATAAGGCATCATTTTCTTGTTTTACTTGCACAGCCTGTGACCATTGAGTTTAGAAGTTTAGACTATTGAGTCTGCCCTTTCTGTCAAGAAAATTTCTGGCTGTCTTTTCCCATTTCCCACTCCCTTTCCCTATCAAGAATCATCTTCCAACCCTCACCCCTAACCCTTGGGATATCTGCAAATCTGAAAAGACAAAAAGAAAAAGGAAAACATGAAGCTGCGGGGGAAATGTCCGAATTATGTGGTTCACACTCCTTCATCTTCCTCTCCAAGACCAGAGGAAGGAAATGCGGGCCTGGGGGTTAAGGGGAGGGGATGCAGGGGTGGGAGCGTGGGTGGCTGTGTGTGTGTGTGTGTGTGTGTGTGTGTGTGTGTGTGTGTGTGTGTGTGGTGGGGAAGGGGGGAGGCGATCTGTCTAAGCTAATTCCCCAAAGTCCTCTGCTCCTGGAGAGGTTGGATGAGCAAGACCAGGGCATGTCCAGGTTGCGCTCGCATAAAGTTCCCGTTTTTATTTATTTATTTTTTTCAGTAGTAAAAGCAGCTTCTTTTTCAAACCCCCAGAAGAATCCGAGGCGCCCGGCTGCTATTGCCAGTGACAAGGAGCAGGAGCGGCGCTTTCAGCTGCACGTGCCCAGCCTCACTGCAGTCCAGTCGCCTAGGGAAACCCTGGCATTCCGGGGTGACTTGACAGCGATCTGGGGTGGGGAGCTGACGGTGCGGGGGAGACCCGAGCACGGCGAGCGCGGCGGCCCGGGAGGGCGGGCGGCTCCCGATCCCACAGCCCAGCGGATGGCGAGATTTACAGCACTCTCGGGCGGAGCTCTCGCCTTTCTCCCCTCTCCCCCACCCCTTCTTTTTCTTTTCTTTTTCGCTTGACTACCCGCGGCTGGGGCCGGGCCACCCGGGCACTCGCTGGGAGCAGCGGCGATTAGTGCCCTAATCCCTAGTCCTGATCCGAGGAGCGGGGGTCCCCAGGCCGAGCGGGGACCCGAGCAGGGAGTGGGGGACGCGGAGGCCAGCTCCCAACGTCCCGCGGGCAGGTCCGCCACAGCGGGTATCGTGGGAACCCGGGACCTCGGGACTCTGAGCGGCTGTCAGTTCCCGGGTGGAGACTCCGCCAAACCGTGGCGCGCGGGAGAGGAAGGGGTGGGGTGGCTGGACTAGGGCTGTCGCGAGGACGCCGCCGAGAGTGGAACAGCGACCCCCGCCCTCCCGGGCCCTCCCAGCGCCGAGGGGCGAGGCGAACCCCCTAACGCCAGGCGCGGCCTTCGGCGATGCCGGGGAGCCCCGTGCCCCGCGCCCGAGCTGGGCACCTGAGGGGCCGGGACCAGCCCTCCTGGCGAAGCGGAGGCTGCGGGACTGGGCACCGCCGGGGGTCTCGGGGAGGGACGCGGATGTCCCCCAAGGCTGAGAGCGGTTCGGACCCGAGCAACGTCCGACTGGAGAAGTTGGGGGGCGAGCGCTGGACGCTGGGGGCGAGGCCCGGAAAGCGCCGTGGGAACGGGCCAAAGGCACGGTGGGAGTCAGGAATGAGGAGTCGCCTGGACTTACCGAGTGTCTCCCTCATGCTGCCCCGCGCCGCCGCCGCCGCTCCCGCTGGCTGGCGGAACCGCGCGACCAGCCGCCTGCCGCCTCCGCGGCCCACGCACTCCCGGAGCCGCCGCCCGCCCCGCCCACCGAC